AGCATGGCGCCCAGGCACTGTACAATGTTGTTGGTCATCAGCGCGTCCACATTTTCCTCCAGGTGACGCTTCGGGTCCTGCTTGCCGACGTTCTTGATGGCCAGCTGCGCGGGCGTCAGCTTGTCCTCCTCCTCCACTGACTTGTTGTACGCTTTTGCCAGATCCAGCATGTGCACCACCGTAGATTCGTTGGTGGAGCAGTGCTCTTTGAAGTTCTTCAGCTGCAACCCTTCCATCCAGGACTTCTTGTGCAGATTAAGGAGCATCTTCTGCTCCAGCTCGTTCTTGCGGTAGTTGATGGCGATGGAGTAGTAGTGGCGGTTGAGGCCGTGAATCAGCGCCTGAATGGACGGCTTGTTGAGGTGGCCCAGGTTGGAGGTGGTCTGGCGGGGCTCCTGTCCGAGCACCATCGTGTTGGGGTTGATCAGGCGGAAGGCGTCAATCACCACCTTGCCTTTCACCGACTGAATCGGGTCGATGACGACGGCCACCGCCCGCTCGCTGAGCGCCTCGAAGCTCTGCTGCGTGTTGATGTCGACGCCGGAGAGCCAGCAGCCGAAGCCAGGGTGGGAGTGATACCAGCCGACGACCATCTCCGGGCGGCCAGTCTGCCGGAGCATGTCGAGCATCTTCGCCTGAAAGACCGGGTCGACGGCCTCCACGCTGACGCCCTAAAAAATAGTAGGTTACAAAATGAAAGAATAAAGATAGCAAAAACCAATCAGCTTACCGTTCCCGACTGGGGCATCGCAAAGACGTCAATGACGCGGACGGTGTAGTCGTCGACAAACTCGCCCAACATCAGCCCCATCACCTCCATGGGCACTCCTGCGCGTCCGTGCTTCAGCATCTTCAGCAGCGCCAACGAGGAGATGTACACCTGCTCGGCGGTGTCCACCACTGGGCCATCCGTCTGGGAGGCGCCCTGAAGGGGGAAAAACGCCGGAAAACGTCAAATTGCTGCTGACAAACACAAAAAGTAAACAGATNAGCTTACCGTTCCCGACTGGGGCATCGCAAAGACGTCAATGACGCGGACAGTGTAGTCGTCGACAAACTCGCCCAACATCAGCCCCATCACCTCCATGGGCACGCCCGCACGTCCGTGCTTCAGCATCTTCAGCAGCGCCAACGAGGAGATGTACACCTGCTCGGCGGTGTCCACCACCGGGCCATCCGTCTGGGAGGCGCCCTTAAGGGGGAAAAAACGCCGGAAAACGTCAAATTGCTGCTGACACACACAAAAAGTAAACAGTTCACTTACCCCGCTCAGATTCTGCAGGCCGCTGCTCAGTCGCAAGAGACGATCCATTGCTTTTTCTTCTTTTTGACGATTCTACTCAAAAATTACTCAAAACGATTCAAGAATATAGTGGCTTTTGGAGACGCCAAACCAAAGAACTCTGCTGCAGGTTTCTATCACTGTCGATGTGATTCAGCAGAAAAGTGCTTTTGTCAAAACAACACTGCCCGCTCGGAGAGAGCGTGACCGGCCGCCGGCTTCAGTGGGCGGGCCATTCAGGCAGGTGGTGACTGCAGTCGGGAAGGTAGAGGTCAGAGCACCGTTGTTCACCAGCGCCCCCATTGTTTGTCCCACGCTGCCTGCCTGTCTCGTACACATCATTCTTTTAAGTTTCGCTGCCGATAATTCACCGGCATTTCTCATTCTGCCTGAACCTGATCACCTCTTCCTCATTACCTGTTATCTTTTGGAGCACCAAAGTCTTCATCAGAGATTCTTGCTTAACCTGCAACCAAAGAGATAAGGGCAGCTTTTCCTCATCTGGGAAAAAAGATTTGCCGCCAAAGATCGGAGAGCTTTGAAAAGTGCCATGCCGCGTCAGCGAAGAGGCGGCGGCGGTGAGGCTGCTGATGCTGCTGCTGATGCTGTTGCTGTTCGCTCCAGGAATCTCGAGAATCCTCGAAAGTCCACTGAAGATGCCGAGCCTTCCAGGGAGCCCTCGAGGCAGAAGAAGCGGAAGAAGGAGGAGCAGGACTACCAGGGCAACAAGTGCCTGGTGGTCTTTCTCTTTGCCTCCACTGCCATTGTCGTGACGTGCATCAAGTTTCTGCTCATCCCCTCGTAGTAAGTTGCTGGACTTCTAAATGCCGCCTTTTCAACTCATTCACCCATTTCATTTACCAACAGTTATTCCACCGACTTTGAGGTTCACCGCAATTGGATGGCCATCACCTCACAACTGCCCCTCTCTCAATGGTACACCGAGGTAAGCCACTGTGATTTACTTTCTAAGACCTTGTGTTCTAAATACTTTTCCAAACCAGAAAACCTCCGAATGGACGCTCGACTACCCGCCCTTCTTCGCCTACTTTGAGCTGCTGCTCAGCCGTCTGGCGCCTTACTTTGACCCTGCTATGTTGGTCATCAGGGCCACCCCTTACACCTCGCCGGCCACCGTCCTCTACATGCGCCTGACGGTGATCGCCGCCGACCTTGTCTACCTCTNCGACTTTGAGGTTCACCGCAATTGGATGGCCATCACCTCACAACTGCCCCTCTCTCAATGGTACACCGAGGTAAGCCACTGTGATTTACTTTCTAAGACCTTGTGTTCTAAATACTTTTCCAAACCAGAAAACCTCCGAATGGACGCTCGACTACCCGCCCTTCTTCGCCTACTTTGAGCTGCTGCTCAGCCGTCTGGCGCCCTACTTTGACCCTGCTATGTTGGTCATCAGGGCCACCCCCTACACCTCGCCGGCCACCGTCCTCTACATGCGCCTGACGGTGATCGCCGCCGACCTCGTCTACCTCTACGCCGCCTACGTCTGGGTCGCCCTGCTGACCGACCCGGCGAAGCACCTCGTCCACGGGCTGGGTCTGCGGGCCATTCCCTCCAGCTCTGCTGCCAACACCGAGCAGTGGACCTCCAGTCCGATGCTGTACACCTTTCTGCTTCTGGTGAACGTCGGCCACCTGCTCGTCGACCACATTCACTTTCAGTACAATGGCCTCCTCAACGGCCTCCTCCTGCTCTCGATGGCGAGGATGGTCGACGGGCAGATCTACTGGTCGGCCCTCTGGTTCGCCGTCCTCCTCAACCTGAAGCACATTTACCTGTACGCGGCACCCGCCTACGGCGTTTTCCTTCTTGTCGAACACTGCCTTACCATCGACCGGAACAGTCCTCTGCGCGGCAGTCGACTTCACTGGCGACCGCTGCTCACGCTGGCCGTCATTGTCGTGGGCGTCTTTGCCGCCTCCTTTGGGCCCTTTATCGCTCGAGGACAGCTGCCCGCCATTCTCCGGCGGCTGTTTCCCTTTGCGCGCGGCCTCTCGCACGCCTACTGGGCGCCCAACTTTTGGGCGCTCTACAATGGCGCCGATCTGCTGCTGGCGAAGGTGCTGCGGAGAGGCAGCGGTGGCAGAGGAGGCATTACTAGCGGCCTGGTGAAGGTTTCAGAGCACGCCGTCCTTCCCACCATCTCGCCAAACACCTCGCTAACGTTGGTGATGATTTTCATCTTGGTAAGCCTTTATTTTTATTAGTAAAACTAATTCTGATGAAATATTTCTCCTGCAGACCATCAGCTTCCTCTTCGTGTGGAACCGCTCGCACGCTAGCCCCTCTTCAAGTCGCATTCGCCGCCGCCGCTCGGTGGTTTTTATCGAGCTGCTCCTCCTCTCCACCCTCTCCTTCTTCGCCTTTGGCTACCAGGTGCACGAGAAGGCGATTCTCCTCGTCCTGCCCACCATGGTCCCGCTGGTGCTCGCCAACGCCATCTACGCCCGCCTCTTTCTGGTGCTCTCTGTGGCGGGCACCTACTCCCTCTTTCCGCTGCTGTACCGCGAGGCGGAGACGCCCATCAAGGTTCTTCTCCTACTCGCCCACGTCCTCTTTCTGGGCGCCTCCTACACGGCGCACTTTCCGCGCGTCGGCCCCCCGCTCAGGTGGTGGCACTCGCTGCCGCTGGTGAGCGGTCGCGAGGCCGCCTACCTCCTGGGCTTTGTCCCACTGCAGCTGGCCACCTCGCTGGGCCCATGGCTGGCGCCGGCTCTGGCCGCCCGACTGCCCTTTCTCCCGCTGGCAGTCACCAGCGTGTACTGCGCCATTGGCGTCCTCTACGTCTATGGGCGCCTGCTGAAGCACTTTGCCGCGGTGTGAGCGGACAGAGGAGCAACAGCGCCCAGCTCAGTTCGGCCTGACGATGACAAATTAACGACGACCAAATTAAAATCCACGACACCATCATCCCCATCACCACCATCCCCACTCTTTCTCAACTTTGCTGCCCACTTTTCAGTGCTCACATTTTTCACTTTATCGCCCACTCTCTCCGATTCCGATTCCTGCCTACCTGTCTGCCTGCCGCCTACGACCAAACCGATTCGAATTAGAGCAGTGGTTGCTGATTCTGCTGCTGCTGCTGCTGAATTGTGAATCGCGGAGGCCAACAAGTCATGATCATTATCCCCTTTCTCTTCCATACCCTCTCGCTCTTGCTCATCAACCACCTCGTTTATTTTTCCCTTTCACTTTTTTCTTTTTCTTTCTTTTTTCTTTCTCAATTTCTTTAGTGCAGTAAAAGCGCGCCTATCTGTGTTCAATAGTGGATGATGTTATTGGTGGTGAGTTCGGCGATGAACTCTAGCCGTCGTCGTAGTCGATGCACTCATCTCAAACTTTCGCTTTCTTTCTCTTTCTCGGCAAACTCTCCAGTGGAAATAAGAAGTCTCTTTCGTGGACACGGCCTCGACGACTCTGCTTTGCTTTGCTGTTCTGCTTTCTGTTTTTCTGTATTTCCGGCGAAGGGCTCAAAACTGGAGCAAGCCAAGCCAGAGCAGGCCACGAAGAAAGAAGAAGAAGAAGGTGTCTTCAAGTGCTTATGTGTTATTTGTCTGCTCGGTTCGCCGGAAAAAAAAGATGAAGAATAAGAAGAGGGAGAAGCCAAAGAAGAAGAAGAAAAAGAAAAAGTGAGGCAGAATCAGAAGCCAACAAAGTACTCTTGTAGCAGCAGCAACTTCAGCTGTCTGTTTACTTGGTGTTTGTTGAAAAACGACGAAAAGTAGGAGATGGAGGACAGGCAAGGAGGACGAGGGAATAACGGGAAAAAAAGAGGAAAAAGAGGAAGAAGAAGAAAAGCAGCAACATCAGCCGCTGAAGGAGCTGTTTGAATCAGTGTTTACTTTAACGCTTCGGCGGCCTGTGCTGTGTCCTCCTCCTGCGCTTCCTCCTCTTGCGCCGACCGATTCTGCCTGCAAGAAGAAAACTGGTGCAGTGCCTGTCTGCCTGCCTTCACTTGCCGGCTTAATTGCCACCAGCTTCCAAAAGCTCAGTGTAAGTCAGTCAAAAAATTTCCTTTTTGTGTTTGACTTTTTGCTTCTGCCACTTCTGCTGCTGCCACAGCTCGTCATTATCATCAGCCGTCAGTCAGTCAGTCAGCTCTTTTACTGCTCGATTGGCAGCTCTCTTTTGCAAGCCTTTCTGCCCCTTCATTCTAAAGTTTTCCCCTTTCTTTTCCTTCCTTCCTTTGCATACATTGCCGGTCGAAGTTCGCGGCAGTAGTGCAATCGGTGGCAGTAGTGCTCTTCCCTCTAATTTGCGCTCTATTTTAGGCGGGAGGAAAGGACAGGGGGACCCCGCTGAATTGAGCTTATTGGCGCGCAAATTCTCTCTCTCACTTTCTCACAGAGCAGACATATTCGACGACGACAACATCATTCGGGTGCTTTTGTGCTGGTGTACGGTAGCGTAAAGCGAAGATCGAATGGAAAATGTTCTGTTTTTTCTGTGTCTGTCTGATTCAGATGATGTTTTTCTGCTGCTGCCTGGCCACTGTCATCTCCATCACCACCACCATCACCACCACTGACACTGACTCTGTCTGACTGACTGAATGACAGAACAAGTTTTCAGAGGCAACCGATCATCATCATCATCTTTCTAGCTTTGCCAAAGCCCAGTTCTCACTGAGTACGCCTGGCTTGCTGCTGCTGCTGCTGCTGATCGGTTTTCGCGCTTGGTTTTTCTTCTTTCTCCCTTCCCTGTTTTCCACTTTCTTCCTCCTTTTCCTAGTACTGCCTGTGTTCCGAGGTTTCAGCAGAAACAGCAGCTTTATGTTTTCTTTTTCTTTCCCTCTTCTCGGTTTCAGCAGTGTAGAATCGAGAGAAGAGAAGAGAGGAGAAGAATCAGTAGAGTAGTGTTTGACACTGCTGTTTTACACTTTGTCTCTCTTTTGCTCTCTCTCCCTATCAGAGCGAGACTTTGCGGCAGCGGTGGTGGTGGTGGTGGTGGTGGTGGTGGTGGCTGGTAATATGCTGAACCACTATATGACGACGTTCTCTGTCTG